CCGTTGGCTGCCTAAACAAAGGTGCAAGCAGAGCCGGCAAAAAGAGATAACCTGCATTCATTATTTTGTAGTCATACCTGTTCCTATGCCCTTGATTTGCACCAACAATATCAATGCACTAACAATTTGACAGCAAATTCGACACCATTCTTCAAACTATAATTTCTTCCGTAGGAGGAAAATGAAGATCTAAAATGCCAGTTGGCCTTCATCAAGGAAGAGGCCATCTTGATGCGGAAGAAAATGGCTAAGATAGACAAAGAGAAGGACCGTTTAGAGCAGGAGCTCCATAAGTACCGCTCCTTTTACGGTGATGTAGACAGTCCTCTCCCCAAAGGTGAGGCTGGAGGTCCCCCCACCACTCGAGAGTCCGAACTGAAGCTCCGTCTGCGCCTGGTGGAAGAAGAAGCCAACATCTTAGGTCGCAAAATCGTGGAGCTGGAAGTAGAGAACCGTGGGCTGAAGGCCGAGTTGGATGACATGCGCGGGGACGAGCTGGCCGGTGGGACGACTGACCCGTCGTCCAGAGAGCAGAGCGAGGCGCTGTCCGAAATGCGGCAACAGCTGCAGTTGGTGGAGGATGAGGCTGAGCTTCTGCGCCGTAATTTGGCTGACGTGGAAGAGCAGAACCAGAAAATGACCAGCGAGCTCAACAAGCTCAAATACAAGGCAGGGTCACACGAGGGCTCGCGCTACAACAGCGGGGCGGTCGATGGAGCAAAGTTTGAAGCTCTGCAGGAAGAGCTGAAGGTCGCCAGGCTGCAGATCAACGAACTGAGCGGGAAGGTGATGCAGTTGCAGTATGAAAACCGTGTGCTGCTGTCCAACATGCAGCGCTACGATCTGGCGTCCCACCTGGGCATCCGCGGCAGCCCGAGGGACAGCGACGCTGAGAGCGACTGTGGCCGCAGAGAAAGCGACGACGACTGCTCTCGGCTCACGCCGCATCGCAAACGTGAGGGTCCCGTTGGCGGGGAAAGCGACTCGGAGGAGGTCCGCAACATCCGGTGCCTCACTCCTACTCGCTCCCTCTACGCCCCGGAGGGACGTTTTTTACCGAGAAGTTTCAAGGACCGCCAGCAGATGATGGATATCCGTATGGAGGCGGAAAGATTGAGCAGGACCATCGATAGACTCATTGCTGATACCAGCACCATTATTGCAGAAGCTCGTGTTTACGCGACCAACGGTGAGCTGTTTGGAAGAATGGATGATGACGATGAGGGCGGTCGAATACGAGAGCACGAGCTGCTTTACCGGATCAATGCTCAGATGAAAGCTTTCAAGAAGGAGCTGCAGAACTTCATCGACCGCCTGGATGTCCCAAAACCAGAGGAACGAGAAACTGAAGAACCTCTGTCAGTAAGTACAAATAAACTCAAGACTTACACAAACCTATTGTGCTTTTTTAGATATATCCTTTCATGTAGTGTGCAATATAGCTGTTTGTGAATGTAAAAGGTCTACAAAGTTTCAAAGATCAAAGTGCTTGATAAATGGAGTTTTTGTCTCTGAAAAGAAAGAAGTGATTCCGAACTGCCCGAAACAAGTCATCAGTAATTCCAGTCTTCCTGCTCAACAAATTTGCATAATGCCAGCCTTTGGTCTTCATTGGCTGCCAGTGAACAATGTCTACCTGGTTCCGCCCTCAAACACTGTATACAGTTGGGGGCGGGGCAACATAGACATACTATATTTATAGTTGAGGCCTGAAAGAGTTTGGTTCGTGTTGTTGGTTCATGTCGAAACGATGCTGTTTTCTGTGCTGCTGAAAATACCAATTGAATAGACCAATTGCAACAGACTAAGCCATCTGACCAATCAGAGCAGAGGAGACCAATCACAACAGATTGGGTCATGTGACCAATCAGAGCAGAGTAGACCAATCGCAACAGACTAAGCCATCTGACCAATCAGAGCAGAGTAGACCAATCACAACAGACTGGACCATCTGACCAATAGGCTCTCAGAAAGGAAGGGTTTAGAGCAACCAAATTCTTTATCGAAATATTTCAGACACTGAGAAATGAGGTGATGTTGCAATGTGTACTATGAGAAAACTGAAGTGTTTTTTTATATCTTAGATGTATGTAAACCTATTGTAGGAGACCCCACAATCGCATATCACATATTACAATCGCATAATGAGACACTTTAAAGCAAAAGTTTAACAGAAATTAACATTCAATCATTATTTAACCACCCTCATGACATCCCTACTGTATTTTTTCACCAAATTAGACATTTTGAAGAATCACACAAGTTTATTGTAATTTCATCTGTCAAGCCCCAAAAAGGACAAAAAACACCATAAAGCACGAGTAAATTAGTCCAAATGAATTATATTCATAAATATGTTTGCATGATGTTATTGATTTCAGACTTGAGGTGATGTGAAAAAGTGTGCCATTTTTGATGTGACAGCTATGGTGGAGAGAAGGAGTTTAGAGGATGCCAGTTTTGGTCTGTTTGTCACACAAGGCAATCAGGATATAATGCATGTGTAAAAAAATGGCATACAGATTCTTCAAATTTTACATGAATAAATAAATACATACATACAATAACAGCATATGGGGCTGTAGCAATGATGAGTAAATAAACTCTTTTTTTGGGGTGAATTATACCATTAATTTTTTACATACTGTATAATAAGGTTTGTTTAATGGATGATTGTGATATTCACTTGTTTTCCTCAATATTTATCATATAATGCATATTGCACTTTTCTGCCTTCCTATAGACTCACTGATGCTCTCTTTCTTCCATTTCCTCTTCCATTTTGATATCAACCCAGATGTTTCAACCTATTATTTTGCTTATTCTCATTCTTGTTTTATTCTCATCTTTATCGTATGCCACTATTTTCAAACTAGTCTTTCTTTTCACTCTTTTCTTTGTTCTGTAAATTTCATTTATTTTATTTATTGTACAGTTTTGTTACTTTCTTCCTTTTCTTTTTGTTCTGTTTTCTTAGTTTGTCATATTGATTTTGGACATGTCATCAAGGTTACACATGGGACAGGAAGCGATGATCATTTCAGGCACAGACTACAGTCACTCAACCAAACGCAAGCGTCCACTCACAATCTGCTTCACTGTTTGTATATTCAGTTTATTTGGTGAGTATTTTTTGTGTGTCTTTTTAATTAACTTATTAAATGTAATATAGTATATATTGGGTAAGGACTACATTTTGGGACAGGAATGTTGATCCAGGACCATGTCTTACTTGGCAATATCACGGTGACCGTAACGGTATTATGAATCCGTGCGGCAGGTCTTAAAGTGTCAGCAGCCTAATAGACCTGCTGCCAAATTATGAGATAATATTAAAAAAATATATATGGCATTTTTTCCCCATGGTATCAATGGCAAAATTGTGGCCAGTGAAAATGCTGGGTGGCTTGTAACCTTTTAAAACCACTAGCCACAGTGACTGGTGAGTGAAAAAGTTAATGTCAAGCCTTGCTCCTGATTATCTGAATACTTATACAAAATTTGAAAGCTTTAATTTTGTGGACTGTAAAACATGTTAAAACATTTGTGCGTCGTAAATTAGTAAAAATCAAGAATTATCAGTGCTTCTGTGCAGCATGCGTACTCTCACTGAGAATCATTTTACCAGTTCTCTCAGTATCCCTAAGTCGGCCATTTGGGTCTTTGGAGATTAAAAAGTGTGTTGAGTGTCCTGGTTCCTAACATTATCTTTTATCAGATGACAAAAGCCCGTCTCTGAAGCTCTAGTGCATTTTCTAAAGAACCATGCAAACTCTTTTGGCATCAAACCTTTTAAAAATAAAGAGTGTGATATATATTTATATTTGTATTAATGGTTGATGATCACAGTTATAATGACTATCGACTGTACACTGTAAAGAGTGAAAATAGGCAGCTGTTGTTTTTCTACTTTTCATCATTGTGAACCTTAAAAATGAAAATTCTTACTGTTTCTGTTGAGATTGAAGTTTGTGTTCTCTGTCTTTTTTATTCTCATGGTTATCATTGTCTGCATGAAACAGAAGTTGCAATATCCTCTATTGATTTCTCAGAATTGTGTGATCTAATCTCACAATTGTGCATCATAAAGTCAGAATTGTGTGATATTAAGTCACATTATGTATATGTTATAAAGTCAGAATTATGAGAAGTTAGGCTAGTCTTTTTTCCCACAGTATTGGACTTTAACTCACAATTGCGAGTTAATTAGAATTGTGAGAAAAAAGCGGGATAAAAAGTCACAATTATCTTTTAAATTGTTTTATTCTGTGGCGGAAACAAGCTTCCATATATAGCAGAGTGAAACTGCTTCTCAAACAAGAACAAATGTAGGGCGGGACTTGATTTTTTCGATGGGGAATTGATTGGATGGTTGTGGTTTGCTATTGGTCGGTGTCATGTAAGTCATCAGAGATTAAAATTTTTGATTAAAAACGACATGAATGTAAAAATGAATGATGTGCAATTGTGCACAGATAAAAAATGTATAACAAACACTGCAGTATTCCATAAAAAAATAAATAAGAATAATCATTTTCGATTTAATGGTAGTTTTAAAGTTGAGCTTTCGGTGTGCACAAGGACCCTGAATGACAACAAGGTAGGCCTACAACATAGTTACAGAGGTAAAAATACATGTGAACTCTTACATCAGTGAGCTCAGAGTATTTTAGGCTCTCGACTCTGTCGGTGTCATTTTCAGTCTAAAGTAGAGTACGCTAATGGATAACTTCAATCTGCAGTTCACTAGCTTATTTTATTAAAGCAAAATAATGTAGATGTATAACCTAAAGGATGCAGCTGAGAGGATAGTGTATAATACAGTATACTGTTTTCAATGTGAAATCATCGGTCTCCGGAGAATGACAGGCTGACCTTGGCGTGCTTTATTGATATGGAAGGAAGAAATGAGCCAGAGACACCAGACTGGGCCGCGGAGGAGATGGCACAAGTGGCTGGTTTCGGATAATATAGTAGTGTGCGTGTTTTTTTTTATTTATTTAATTGTATGGGGACTGGAACTGCAGTGCAAATAGTTAAACAAAGAGAAAGAGGTTGTTATTCGTGTTCAGTTGTGACTGAAAGATGTGGAATGCGTTTGGAAATGGATCAAGCGGGTATGTGAGCAAGGCGCAAGGCTGGGAGTTCGTCCCGTGTCCTCGACTAGAGAGGCCGGGTAAGAAGGTCCAGAGTCCCGCCCGGGTTCGTTCGTTCCCGAGCAACTTCCTGGAGCAGCTTCCACCTGGATCGTCCGATGCGCCGAGTCACGAGCACAGTCCACACACACGCCTTAAAAAGAAACTCGAGGACTTAAAAAAACGCTACGATCACGAGAAAGAGGAGTGGAGGATGGAGAAGGAAATGCTTTTGAGACAAGTTGCTGATATTCAAGTAGCTACAAACACAAGCATGCGACACCAGTGGGTTTTGACCAACCAGCAGTGTGCGTCTCTCTTATTCTGCGTTGTGTTTACAGGGTGGAGAAAACAGAAGGATATTGTTGGACCTGAAGTGTGTTTTAGAAGAGGTGCAGTCGGGGGTGAAGCGTGAGGAAAGTAGACGGGGTGAGCTGGAACTGCAGAACATTAAGGATCGATGCGCGTGGGAAGTGGAGCGATCAGAGCTGAAGAGGCGCATTACTCAGGTACGAAACTTAAACAGTTATCCATATTCCTGTGACAGAAATCTGTCTATTTCTAAAGGTGGTGTACTATTTGTTTAAGGAAACGAAAGTGTTGAAAACAGCTATTCAACATTTGCACCGCAGGGTAAAAAAAAAAAAGTTAGGCTAATTGAACACAGACTATATCGAGGCATGTTGCCACACTAGATGGGGTAAGTTGTCACAATGTGAAATTTTTGTTTATTGATGCTGAATTGAGAGGAATACATTTTTTTTTGCCATATGAAATGGAACTAGCCTTTTATATAAATCGAAGATACAAAATATTTACTTGCATTTAAAATGTATTTTACAATATACACTCTAAAAAATGCTGGCTTGGTCAATTTTGAGTCAAATATGGACAAACCCTGGCGTTGGGTTGCATTTTTTAAATTGCAATTTTAATCCAACATCAGTTTGTCCATATTTGAACCAAAATTGAATTAAAAAACCCAACATTTTTTTTTTACAGTGGATCATGATCCAGCTCTCATATTTAATCAAAAATATCTTAATTTGTGGTCCAAACGTCTACAGGGTTGGAAAAACAAATTACTGACAGCATTTTCATTTTTGGTTGAACTAACCCTATAAAGTGCAGTGGAAACACTAAGCACAAACCAATTCAGAAAAAAAAAGGAAAATGCAAAAAATATCAAACGAATAGTGTTGTTTTGGCTAACATACAAAAACAACGCAAATAATGAATTATTTAATAAATAAAATAAACTGGTAACAACCAAATTAACTGATTTTAGGGTAAAAAACATAACATACATGCCAACAAAATTATGATTTTTCAGGTTAAATCAGATCTTTAAGGTAACAATTACAGGTTACTACTTTTTACAGTTTTACTAAGTTGTTTAAAAATGAAACAAATCTATATTAGATTATTGGCATTGATGAAGCACACGGATAATGTCAAAGCTTTTAATTATTTGTGTGTTTTCTAATGGTTGTCATTGAGCATAGCCCAGAGATTACACAGGCTTTATGCAACACAAACACTATCAAGTGCAAATATATCCTGTCAACAGCAGCTTTGTGTGCAAGTGGCCTCAGAAGACCAGCTCATTTGCAGTATTACATCATCATTTTCATCAATGAATTAATCAAAGCAAACTAGTGTGGAAAATAATTGTATCTTCACCTTTCGTATAGAATAGCCTCATTTCTGTTAAAGACACTGTCCAGATCGCCTTGTATTTACTATCCACTGTGAGAGATTTCAATCCAGTCTAAGGCTTTACACTTTATTGTAATTGTGAGTTAGTGACTCCGAGAAACTCCTAATACAGTAGTGCAGTCGTCTTTGTTGAGATTTGGATTGTTGTGATAAGGCATATCTTGTGACGGACTACACCTCAGGACATACACTAGACTCCAACTGCAAAAATCTGCAAAAGAATAACCTAATAATGTGTAGTGGTCTTGTACTGACGATTTGAGGTTTAACGTTGTGAAACTATGGACTCATGTGTCGCTTGACCGCATATGCACTTGTTTAAATTCAGAAAACGATTTGGGTTAAGCCACACCAATCCACCCAATGTAACGGTTGGTGCGGAGAACAGAATTCAGGGAGGGGTCGAAGTGAACCATAAAAAAAGTTGTTTTCTTTGCAGTCCACATCCTACCACAGCACATACTTTTGTCCCAGTGGATTTCTTCGGTTTACCACTAGACTTTCATAGCGGGGTATTCGCCAGCATATTTCTGATCTTTAAAACAGAGATGAGTCGCTCCAGGGCCCCATCCTCAGGAATGTGAGATGCTAAAGGATTGGTCTTGCTGTCTATTAATAGAGAGCTGTTTTTGCGACATTGTTACACAGACACAGACAGTGCACTGCAACCAGGGTAATTATATTTTAGTCTTAAAACTAGCAGCACCCTTGCACGCTCAACTCTGGTTACATGTCACGTCAGTGTCTCACATGCCCTCGGCTTGTAAACACACGCTGTTAGTGCACCCAGGAGAACTCATAGGGTTAAGGACAGTGTGCCAGCACATTTTACTGCGCTGTTTGTACAAACACTGCTTTGCTCTGGACCGTTGCTATATGAACCATAAATAAGATTCACCTATTTTTGTCTTTGCGGTTGCCCTGATGGTGGACTATTCAGGTTTAGTCCAATCAAGTCTTGACTTCTCAGCTGAGTTGTCAGCTATATTACGGTATTAAGAATTGAATATAGCTGTTTCCATCCAAAGTTGCGAATTTAGCTTATGCACAAAATTGGAATATTGCATAAGACATTTGAGAATAAAGCCGGGTTTCAATCCAATGAGTCGAAGACAACAAAACCCTCACTTCCTGATGAACTAAAAAAGTAAGAGAAGCCACTGTATATAACGATTTTTTGTTCAGAATAAGACTAGATTGGATTTACTTTTAAGGAGTTGTTCACTTTTGAAAAAACTTTTGCTGATAATTTACTCACCCCCATGTCATCCAAGATGTCCATGTCTTTCTTTCTTCAGTCGAAAAGGAATTAAGGTTTTTGATGAAAACATTCCAGCATTTTTCTCCATATAATGGACTTCAGTGGGAACTAAACGGTTCAAGGTCCAAAAGACACTTTCAGTACAAACTGCAAACTATTCAAAGGGCTTTAAACGATTCCAGACGATGAATAAGGGTCTTATCTAGCGAAACGAGCGGTCATTGAAAAAATAAATAAAAAAGTTTACGTTTTTTAAGCTCAAATGCTCACCTTGCTCTGTTCTGTGATGAGCGTTCGTGACTCTCCTGTTCAAACTGAACGAAAATGAACGAATCTTCATCAAAATGAACGAATCTTTTTTGAGTCATTTGGTTCATTCAACGAACAAAATGACTTGGAAAAACGATTCGTTAATTTTGAGAAAGTCATTTGGTTCATTCAACGAACAAAATGAGCAAAATGACTCGAAAAAAGATTCGTTCATTTTGAGAGTCACGAACGCGCATCACAGAACAGAGCAAGGCGAGCATTTGTGCTTATAAAACTTAAACTTTTTTATTTATTTTTTAAATGACCGCTCGTTTCGCTTGATAAGACCCTTATTCATCGCCTGGTGTCGTTTAAAGCCCTTTGAAGCTGCACTAAAACTCTCATTTGGACCTTGAACCGTTTGGTTCCCATTGAAGTCCATTATATGGAGAAAAATCCTGGAATGTTTTCATCAAAAACCTTAATTTCTTTTCAACTGAAGAAAGAAAGACGTAGACATCTTGGATGACATGGGGGTGAGTAAATTATCAGCAAAAGTTTGTTTAAAAGTGAACTACTCCTTTAAGGTTTCTTTTCCAGAAACACATTTTTTTCAGGGTTCTTTGATAAATTTGAAATAGAAGTCTGAATGCATCCTTGCTGAATAAAGTATTAATTAAAAAAAAATTACCTGTTGAACAGGAGTGTGTAGAAGTCTCTAAAACACAACTGGCATAATTCTGAGTTATAACTCATGTAGACTATAGGCCTCAATGACATCAATAGCTTCCATCAGCTGCAGAGTTCAATCAAGCTCTGTGATAAATATGGTTTTAGTGTTTGCTGTCTAGTGCGCTCTCTCCAGGATCATCGGGGGGTCAGCATACCAATGTGGCCTCTCCATTACATGCACTAGTCTGAGCTGTTTATGTCTGGGCATCCAATAAGGCCTTGCTCAGGACACAAGGTCCATTTCATCCCGTTGCCAACTACACTCCTCATGATTCTTCCTGTTCAAATGTTTTTTTTTTTTTGTGCAACTGTCCCATACACCCATTTCCTCTTTGGTGGTCAGCAAATCCCTGCCTCTCTTCCCCCCACAGCTGGAAGCGCGGGGATGTAGCGTGTCGGGGGACACTGTGAGGAGTAATGAACTAGGGGACACTCTGAAGCGGGAAAGAGCGGAACAAAAGAGGCTTCTGGCAGACACTCACAGCGCAGCGATGGACCTCCGCAGCAGGCTGGACAGCAGCGAGAAGGGCTGGGTGAAGGAGAAATCTGAGCTGCTGGAACGCTTCGAGGCTGAGAGGAAGGAGTGGGAGAACCAGCTCATGGACATGCAGCGGAAGATTGAGGAGGTGAGTCTGCGGATGTGCGCCACTCCCCACATCTCTGCAGAGAGAACCATATCTGCTTTCAAATTAAATGAATCCCTAAGCACTTCTGTTTACTTCCATGCTAAATGAAAGCTCTGCCAGGAAGCCTCGATGGATAATGGGAACACCTAAAATTGGACGCGATGATGTCACATTATATAAACCTTGGAATTTCAAGTGATTGCCAAAGGAAGTTTAGCTCAGGCATTCATCAGACTTAAAGGAGAACTCCGGTGCAAAATGAACCTTTGGTCTAATAAAACATTGGTACCTAGTCGACCGTTCTCTGAGATTTGTTTTCATGATAATCGAATGTAAAGAGTTTTATCTCTAAAAACTGTTTAGCGTATAACGCTAGTAATGGGGGCATTTAATAAGTAAAAAGAAATCGCTAGTTAATACCACTAACAAGGCTCAAAATAGCCCCACACTAACACAGTAACATAATGAGGGTCCATACATGCAAAACGAAGCATTGAGAACTTTGTAGTGTACAGACCGTTTAATAAGAAGATACTTTATAAAGACAGTCCACTTCGTGTATACAGGCAGCGCCATCTTTGGAAAACAGTCTCGACAAGTCGAACCACGAACGACGTGCCAAGTAAACTAAACTGTATGACGTTCAGCGAACTGTTTGAACGGCGTTCGTGGTTCGACTTGTCGAGACTGATTTCCAAAGATGGCGCCGCCTGTATACACGAAGTGAACTAAAGTGGACTTGAGGTAGAGAAACTGCATCAGTGCATTTGGCAGATACTTCATCCAAAGTGCGTTCAAGCTACGCATCTTATCAGTATGAGCGTTCCTTCAGAATCAAACCCACAACCTAGGTGTTGCAAGGGTTCTGTGCTCTACCAGTTGAGTAGCATGTCCAAGGTTCAATAATGTAACTTTCCATAGGTCTGTCAAATTGTAATTTGACTAAATTCTTAGCTCTAGACCGAGTTTAATACAAACACTGATCAGACCACCTATGTGTGATTTTAATAACTCTGAAGACTTGTATTAGCTTGCTCAGGTAGGGGTGGGCGATATACCAGTAGAAATGAGTCTATCATTAGGGATTTTGGACTATCGTCTCTATCGCAGTTGCGCTCACGTGATGTTTTCCTTCTGTGCCATCTCGAAAGCTTATTGTTGAATGCGTTTTTAAGCTTTGCAGTTTAAAAACAAGTGATTTTAAACCGTTCAAGCACAATAAGCAGCAAAAGGGGACTCGTTTTGTTATATGCGCGCACTTTCTGAGAGGCTGTTTTTGAGTGCGCACATAAAGCCACTGCTCATACTAGAGGTAGACCGATTAAGCGGTCGCCGATTAATCTGTCGATTTTTGGCATTTTTTAACCTAATCGGCATCAGCCAATATCCAAGTATATCAAGCCGATTGTTAGGCAAGCGCATCTGTGGCCAGCCTAGTGTTGCCTGCTGCTAGAGTCATTTTCCAGCCGAATGAGCAGCAGACCTAAATATGAATGCGTTATGTTCGGTTACGGTTATGTCCATTTGTGTTTGTCCGTCAACAAATAAAACTAACCAAAAATACATGTTTCAGGACATTTTTTGAAAGGATAAAATGTTTTTGTTGAGAAAGTTTGTCTATGTTAAGTAATTATCATTTCTTTTACATTTTATCTTTCAAATAGAGGTTAAAAACCAAGCAAATATTGGCCAAATATTGGCCAAAATAAATCGGCAGCATTAATCGGCCATCGGCCGACCCGGATTTCAAAAGATCGGTATCGACATCGGTGTGAAAAAAAACATATCGGTCAACCTCTAGCTCATACAGCCTCTGCTTATATAACGCGTGAGTACTAAACTGTTCCTATTAGCGCCTTACTGAACAGTCAAATACACACACTTGTATGTCAAAATGCCAGTCTTTGCGAATATCTCATAGACAAAGTCGTTTATGTCTTAAGTGAACATAATTGGTTGAGAAAGAAAGCGCATGTGTATCAGTATATTAGATCACTGTGTTCACTCCTAAAGTGACAACAGCCTAATAAACCTGCTTTGTTCTATTGTATTTTTTAATAGTGCTTAAAGTTTTCAGGTATGCCTGTTTCATTTGTGTCTTTGTTGTAGTTTTGTGTCCTATTGCTTGTAACTATGTTTTGTTCCTATTATATTTACTTGTATTCAGTGAGCTTTTTTACTTTTCTTTTTTTAAACTTATATTAATAAGGCTAGTGTTAGTTTTTTTGTGATTTTGAAATTGTTGAGATTTATGTTGTAAAAACTGTATTTAAAGCAAAAATAACTATATCTTGATTTGTCATTATTCAGTGTTGGGAAAATTCACTTTCTACACAAACTAGTTCAGTTCACAGATTTTAAAATGAACTAGTTCAGTTCATAGTTCTTTTTTCCATATGTTGCGAGCTTCTTTTTTTAATGTTTATGCAAAGTTTGCACAGCAATTTACGATTTTTCCCATCCTCACCGACCTCGTCATAAAACCCGTTTAAATGATCATACGACACCTCCTCGCTGGCTGCTTTGTCGGCGGCAGCCGCGGTGCGACACTGGTGTCTTGTGTTGCCAGATTGGGTGTTTTTTCACTACATATTAAGGCCTGTTTACGTGTGTTTTAGCCGGGTTTTCACCCTGGAAGACTCTATAGAAATCTGGCACCCTATTATATGAAGTTAAACTAAGAGAGCGTACGTTCACAGAGACCAGAATGAACGTGTTCACAGTAGCGTTCATCAGACAGTAATACAGTACGTTCAGTTCACGTTCACCCAAAATATGAACGCATTCATGAACTATTATTCATTGAACACGTTCAGGCATAACATTAATATTCTAATATAAGATTTTGGTCATATCGCCCACCCCTATGCTCAGGTGTCTTTTATTAAGGCTGGAGCTGATCTCTGCAGGGCAATGGCCTTCCATGACTGCATTTGTGGGATCCTGCTCTAGTCTGAACCATGACTTAGATTTTTAGTATGTGGTTACATATGCATTTGGCAGACACTTTTATCCAAAGCACCATGTTCAAGCTATTTTATCCGTTCATGCATTTTCTGGGAATCAAACCCACAATCTTGGCATTGTGAGCACTATGCTTTACTACAGGAGTGTCAAAGCCTGGTCCTGGATGGCCAGAGTTTAGTTCTAAAAGTAGTTAAACACACCTGAACTTGCTAACCAAGGTCTTCAGAGTAACTAGAAACTTCCAAGCAATTGTGTAGGAGCTAAATTTAGGAAGGACGTTGGCCCTCCAGGAGCAGGATTGGAGACCCCTTCTCTACTGATATGGTGTGGAATAGTAAGTGGTTAAATGTAGAGCAAGAAGGGTCAACGTTGGTCCTGGAGGGCCGCTGTCCTGCAGAGTTTAGCTCCAACCCTGAAAAAACCCCTCACCTGTCTGTAGCCTTATGAAGACATTGATTAACTGTGATTGATTAGGTTTGGAGCTAAACTCTGCAGGACAGGGGCACTCCAAGACCGACGTTGCCCATCCCTAATGTAGAGGAAAGGGCATGGCTGGGTTTCTTGTGGAGGTCTGGCATCATATATTTAAACTGGCAAGGGACACATGTGTGGGTTTTAGAAGATGTACCAAGGACTACATTCACAATTGATTTGTCTTTTCCAGTTGTACAATGAAGTGAAGGCTCACCGCACAGGATGTTCTCTCAGACCAATTACTGATGGACAAAATGCACTAAGGATCAGCTCATGTTCTGTCAGCACTTTGTCAAGTGAAGTAACCGATCCCTCAGATTCCCAGAGCAATGAGTATTCTGAGGCTCTAACCCAGCAAAGCAATGCAAGCATCGACTCCCAAACAAGTCAACTCAGTCACATCACCAGTGAATCCAGTGACCAGTGCAGCGATCAAAGCAAACTATTAAATCAGCAAAGTACTGGTGAACAAAAGGCCATAGACACTGCAGAGCTGGAAGAAATCCTGGAAACCTGTTCGAAATTGAAAATGGAGAATAAGTCCTGCTTCGTTGGACAAGAAGACCTCCTTAACCCTTTCAAACGATTTCAGAGCATGGAAATAACATGTGGAAGTGACAAAAAGAAGAACAATACTGCCCTTAATGCGGTGAGACTGTTGTTCATAACCCTCTAATCTCAATCTAATCTCTCAGGTGTTTCAAGTACTCGATTGCATTACTTGTATTCCATTTTAATTGTATTCCTTTCCTTGTGTGGTCTGAGGTCTAAGGTTTGCTCTTATTATTCCTCTTATTCATTAACAAATTTTAGGCACTTAAGGAAATTGCCAGTGTGAGTGAAGAACTCTGTAGCTACCAGGATGAAATGAGGAAGCTGCCTGATATTAAGAGGTAAATTGCACACATACCGCTTTTCCACCAAAAAAAGAACTGGTTCGGAACTGGTGCTGGTTCAAAGTTGGTTTGGAGTTGGTTCAACTTGCGAACCGATTCAGAACCTGTTTGTTTTTCCACTGACTAGAGCGCCCAGGGAACGACGTCATTACGTCACTGTGTACCTCGCCATACATCTTAGCTAGAAACGCTTGCAAATGTAACGGAGGCCAGGTAGTAGTTGCTGTGCGAGTAAACCTCACTCCCCGATCTCAATAGGGGCTCTAGCGACAGACGCTAGAGGCTGCAGTCTTTAGCCTCCTTGCTAGAGCGTCCGACTCTCACGCCGGAGACCCGGGTTCGAGGCCCGCTTGGAGCGGGGCGAGTAGGACCCGGGTGTGAGAGGTTACATTGGTGCCGTGACCCGGATGAGAGTGAGGTTTAGGGGGGTGAGTGTAACGGAGGCCAACTAGTAGTTGCTGTGCGAGTAAAGCCTAGTTCACACTACGTGATTTTAAGCCCGATTTAAGCCCGATTTGCAAATCGTTGAGTCGCCGACAAGTCAGGGTGTTATCGTGTGCAAATCGCGGGCGATTAGCGGACGATTAACGCTCGCCAATCCGTTAGTGTGAAAGAGCCAACAACGCACCAAAGACAGCTCGCAGACAGGTCACCGAGCTCAGAAAAATATCTAGCATGCTAGATATCTCGAGCAGTCGCGCGACTCAATCTCAGTGATGTCATGAGTACAGCCAATCATAGCAACGCATGGGTTGAGGACACCAGGTAAATCTTACTTTTTCTTTTCTTTTTTGCCTTTTTTTTTCTCAGAGCAGATCGTCGAGCAAACAGTGTGCAGCACTAGTTTCTGTCTGACGTCCATATTCGCGTGTTGTGTTCTTCTCTGCAGTTTCGCGTCATTTCTGGTTCGTTTTATTGGGTGGTTTTTCGTGACAAAACATGGTTTCTAGACCAGATAGAATCGTGTTGTTGTCAACTCGTTATTTGTTTGATTATTTTCAGGATTTAGACCATACTATAGTACTGAAACAGCTCTCATTGAGTCACAAATGATATGCTCTTATCATCCGATCGTGGTTGTATCTCTATGTAGTGCGTTGTTAACTCGTGTAGTGAGTTACCTCCTGTTGTGGATCAATCACGTTGAGTTGTGTGGTGTGAACAGCTAAACAACTTGAACACTCATGATTTCACTGAGAGCAAGTCATGTAGTGTAAACTGCACAGTTCAGCCCGACATTTTAAAATCATGTAGTGTGAACTAGGCTTGAACCTCACTCCCCGATCTCAATAGGCGCTCTAGCGACAGACGTTAGAGGCTGCAGTTTTTAGCCTCCTTGTTAGCGCGCCTGACTCTCATGTCGGAGACCCGGGTTCGAGGCCCGCTCGGAGCGGGTAGAGTTGGACCCGGGTGTGAGGGGTTACACAAATACAACATTACTTTTGGATTATCTCAACTCGTATACCAGGAAAGCTTTAAAAACAATTGAAATATGTAAGTCTTTTAATCTTTTCGTTTGATATGTAATTTTTTCTGATAAGTTATGTACCCCTGTAATTGTGTCTTTTTTTCTTTCCATTTATTTGTTCTATATTGTGACTTTTCTTCTTTGCTTATAATGTCTTCAATAAAAAAAATTGCGTTAACATCAAGCATAACAATTACAAAGACGGACTCCATCGTGTTTCTGCAAATGTTTCTCTTGGCTTTGCGATCCTTTATTATGGTCAGAAAAGATGTTTAGGACACATCTAAACCCGCCCCAGACCCCGACGTAAACATGACGTGGTAAAAGAACGGTTCTAGTCCAGCAAAGAGTTGGTGCCGCTTTGGAACCAGTTCTCCCGGCCGAGAACCGGTTCTTTGGCTGTCGAAACACAAAGAACTGGTTCGCGCAGGTACCGGCTCCGAACCGGCTCTCAAAATGCTTTGGTGGAAAAGGGGCTATTGGTGCTGCATGCATCACAAATGAATCAGATCTTTGCTTCAAAACGATCTCACTTTGTTTGGTTTCCCTCTTAGAAGCCGCAGTGAGTCGATGTTTTTTCCAAGAAAGGCTGAGTTGGCGGAGAGGGTAAAGGAGAATTTGGAAATGGAGGATACAGTTTTGTACTTGAAAAACATGAGTGAAGACCTTAAATCCCTTGATGAGCAATACTGGATGAGCTGGGAAAGTTGTAACATGGAATCACAGCAAAGGGATGTGAAGCCGCCAGACAACGTAAGACAACAAGCCCCTCCCATACCAGTCCGTAGTACATCTTGGTACATTAGCAGTCCTTCAGCTTCAGAATTAGAGTCCAGTGGTACAGAAGAATTGTGTCAACGACCAGGAACCCATCCTGAGAGGAAGTACACCAGCCCCGCAATTGTACGGAAATTTGAGGCGATGCTTCAAGAAAACGAGGGGAAAATTCTGACCGACTCTGGGAATGTCTCCTGCAGTGATCCTGCTGATTCCAAGTGCAATATCAGTTTCTGCCAGAGCCGGTGGTCCTGTGATGGAAGTAGATTTGCCAGCAACAACTCATCCAGACTTGTACCTGTTAAAAGATGCCTTTCCAACATTGACATTGCAGCTGAAGCCACTAATTGCAGTCTAAACCAAATAGATGCTGTGTGCAAAAACGATCTCAAGAGTGCATCTCATCTCATGAACATGCCTACAGATTCTGCTGCACCAATAGACTTCATTTCGCCATATCCTGCCGCTACAGCTACTCCCAGAAATGAGAGACTTGAGCAGAAAACTGCAGAGTTAAACCGTACACTCTTCCAGGCAGGAATGGGTCTTCGGTGTGATGAGGACCTTTCTATGAATGCTTCTACTGATTGTTCTCCAAGTTTACCAGAGGTCATATCTACAGAGAGCCCATCAATGTATGTTGAAGACAATTGGATCTCGGATCTTGTGCCGAAGGAGGAGGGAAGAACGAAGGAAACAAAGGACCTTGTCTCTAAGTCTTCATCTCCAAAGCAGGAATGTATTCTACACAAAGATGTTGAAGTTCAACCTTTTCAGACTGAACACACTACACCAACTTCAGTTGACCCAAGTGTTGGAGAAATTGGTGTAAGTCCACCACAGTTGCAGATTCAGATGGAAAGGTGCAGCAAAGTTGTGGATGTTAGTACAGATCAACATCAAGCAGTCAAAAAATCCAAACAGGCCAAAAAGGACATGTGTAGCACCAGGTCTCGGATTTTAGAAGAAAATCCATGGAAGCCCTCGACACTAGCAGCTTATCCTCGTCCAATGGAGTCTAGGTCCAACTATGGAGCTGTTGAGAGGATTCTCAAATGTTACGGATTTGGAGAGATCTCAGGAGCAGAAGCAGTCCCAGCCCAGTCCAGGGAAGGAAGAAGACCTTATGGACCTCTTGGAAATGTTGGATATGCAACATGAGCCAAGATCCAGTCAGAGACTAACACACACACCGCACCACAAAGAGACACATGTAACAGTGCAGGTCAGTACTGCACACACTCCCACACATAGACACATGCCTTTCAAACCACAAAAGCACACACTTTCACCCGAGCTCCACACATTCAAACACATGGTAAATAACTCAGCCGGAGAAGTGTATGAGGTGCAAGTGTAGTTGACTATAGTGCACTAAGTAGTAGTTTTTCAAGGAAAGAAGTCATGTTGTACCATATTTAGATGCATTTAGGTCTGAAAGCCTGTTGTGAATGTAGACACGGTTGAAGGGTGTTGTAGCACATGCAACAACTTCAGCCATAGCATACAGGTAAGAAAAAATAGAGACAGTCCAATATTTTTATTAAAGCATTTTATACCATGGTCTGACTCGATACTCGATTCTGATTGGCCTGAAGGTGTGCAATAAAAAACCTTTAATGCACAGGTAAGTTCCAAGTCACTGTTCTATATTAAAGGTCAAATATTGTGCTGCAAACATCAAAAACAGCTTTAAGTTGACCATGCACTGGGTTGTTTCAACCCAAATTTGGGTCAAATATGGACAAACCCAAATTTTGGGTTAAAAATGCAATAAAAAAAAAAAACATTTGGGTTTGTCCATATTTGACCCAAATTTGGGTTTAAACAACCCAGCATTGTTTAGAGTGTGGTATAATCGGGATAATCCACAGGCGGTTCTTTCCTTACACGTCGTGCATTAAAATTGTTTAATGCACAGCTAGCCGTGGATTATCCCTTACTTATTTCTGACGTCATCTAAGGTTATTAGATGGTTTCTTTGGGTGCTGTACAGCGATACACACTGTAATTGGCTTTATGCACAGCTGCACTACTTCCTGAACTTCAGCCAGCTCCTTGTTTCCTGTCTGTCATTATTGGACAAATTGATTAATTCAGGTGTTCCTGACCTCAGTAGTCACGGCAACAAAAATCAGACACACCTAAATTAATCAAGTTTGTCCAATAATGGAAGACAGGAAACAAGGAGCTGGCTGACGTTCAGTAAGTAGCGCAGCTGTGCATAAAGCCAATTGGTGAATCTGTTTTATCAGAATATGATTCATCAATAAATAACAGTAAATGGACATTGCTTAGAAAAATTCCCTCTAAATCTACAACCGAAAGTCTTTTCTCGTGTCTGGAAATAGTCTATTTAGAATGTATTGTTAAAATACCTCATTCCCACAAAACCATCTAAGCAGCACAATTAAAATTCCTTAAGTTGAATTTGAGTCAGAAAATATTGGCAGATTGAAGCTTCTTATTGTTGAAGGCTTTAAGTGGAAAGAATTAGTGGCACCAAGTTTAATTTACATCTTTCATGTCTAGCACTTTAGACAACCTCAATTAGCTGTTTTTATAGGAGGCAAAGGTATGTGGTGCAGTTACAGAAATATGTACCGTGGCCAGTGTTCCTCTGCACGGACCACTTTTGTACATTACACAGGATTGCTGGAAATGATTGTCAGATAATGACTCAGAAAGCATCAGAGAGATTTAATCAGTTCTTTTAATTTAGTTAGTTTTAGAATGGAGAACATATGATGGAAACAAAAGTGCAACCATTTCCTTTAAATGCAGTGGCACTGAAAGAAAAAAAAAATACTTTGTGTAAAAATTCTGTATAAAAAATTAAGCACTCGGTCCCTTTACACTGTAAAAACGAACACGACTGAATATGTTAAATCTAATCAATAAAATTGAGTCAGCAGATTACAATCAATATTATTGATTAAATTTAACAAATTAGAATTGAATAAGAATTAACCAAGTGAATTTCTTAAAAGTAGAATTTACACATTTTTTTAAACAGAAATATTGGATGTCAAAGATGAATTAAGAACTCTTTTTTTCTTGAAGACACCTGATGATAACAAGCAGGTCAAACGATTGTGAAATAATGATAATATTAAAATGCAACCAACACCATCAGATCATCTTTTCTATTTGTTCATAACAGCCAAACAACATCTAAAGTTAATGATATAAGGGTCAAGAGCCCAACTAAAACACACACTGATCTCCATAATGGTGACTTAGCATTTCCGTTAAAATACGTTTTTCTCCTTCAGTGATTCTGCTTGTTAACATCAGGTGTCTTCAATGTTGCAATAAAAAAGAGTTCTTAATTCACTGTAAAAATGAATATGCTTTATCTAATCAATAGAATTGTGGCAACAGATTACAAGCAATATTATTAATTAAAGTTAACAAATTAGAATTGAGTAATAATTAATCAAATTATTCCTTAAAAGTTAACCATTTAAAATGAGTAAAGTTTACACCAAAAAAATGTAACAAAAATATCTCACTAACAGACAGATGTCAAAGATTAATTAAGAACTCTGTATTTTATATTGCCAACATTGTAGACACCTGATGTTAACAAGCAGAATCACCTATGCTATCTCAATTCGTACGAATTCGTACGAGTGATTCAAAAGTGGCTAATTCGTACTAATTCATACGACCTCACTCGTACGAATTTGTACGATTTGTCTAAACCCACATGACGGTTATGTTTAGGGGCGGGGTCAGGGGTAGGTCATTCGTACGAATTGGCTAATTCGTAAAATATGTACGATTTAGCTAATTCGTACGAGTGAGGTCGTACGAATTGTTACGAATTAGCCACCTCGTAAAATTCGTACGAATTCCTGTGAGATCGGGTTGGAATCATGGAAGGAGAAAACCGTAATCAAACCTAAAACAAACACAGATCACCATAATGGTGACTTAAATTTATCTTTTTTTGGTTGTTGTTTTAAGTTTTACTCATTTTAAATGGTTACATTTTAAGGAATTAATTTGATTAATTATTACTCAATTCGAATTTGTTACATTTAATTAATAATTTTGCTTGTAATCTGTTGCCACAATTTTTTTTTAATTAGATAATATTCATTTTTACAGTGTTCATCTTAGACGTCAGTCTGTTTTTCCGATATTTTTGTTTAAATTCTACTCAATTTAAATGGTTAACTTTTAAAAAATGAATTGGGTTAATTATTACTCAATTCTAATTTGTTAAATTTAAAAAATAATATTGATTGTAATCTGTAGACTCAATTTTATTGATTAGATTTCACATATTCGTATTCATTTTTACAGTAGTGTAGTTTTCATTACTGTATGGACACATTTGTGATTAAAATCAGTTGTACTTTATCAGTATACTTTACAATATATACTTTCTCTGCAGTTGGCATTAGAATAATTTCAATTGGGCTCCTTTTTTTAATTTATTTTGGGGAGAAACATGACCTGGCATTTCCAAATGTTCTGTACATGAAAGCGCACAGAGTAGCTGCGGTGTGCTGTTGACAGGAATATTTAAACCCGATGATATTTCATTAAAATATTTGTCTCAACAGCAAGGCAAAGAGTCCTCTGTAACTATCAAGAAGAGCTTTTCACGACCCGTGTGTCCGGCAAAGAGGCGTTTGCCCTCTCGTTGGGCTAGCCGCTCGCCCGTCTCATCTGCATCATCTCCCTCACCCCCACCCACAGTCTTCACCCAGAGACAAACACTCGCCTACCACACCTTTCACACAGAGACAGTGATCTAAATCTGCGTTAGATACAGTCCAATGCCTGTGTAAATAACACTGTGACTGTTCAAATGTTGTGTACATTTCTGTAACCATGAAATCTAACTGCCTTTTTCATTCTTTTGTTTACATTTTATTTCTACCAGCCAGAGTGACTTAAAAGTTCACAAATGATGGTTTCTGTTTTTATAAACCAGTCTCTTATATTGTATAGCTGCCAATGTAGACCTGTTTTCTGTCTATGCTTCACATGTGGCCTCCTGTGTGTGTGTGTGTGTGAGGTCTGATTGATAATATCAAAGCCTGTTTCACATCAAATTTGTTATACCTTTACCAACCTTAACCAAAATGACTCGTTAATATAGAAACAAATGGATTCTACACTTAGTTTACGTGCTAATCTGACGTGAGACATATCATTTAGACAATGCCTTTGCAGTTCTTTTTCTTAATTAATATACCAAGTGTATTGAGCATTTATACAAATAAATAAAATATTGACACGCATTCCTAGATTTAAATGTGTTTTATTCATTACCTATTTAGTCTCGTCTGGAGCCACATACTCATGGCCATTTACAAAGTTAAAATTGGGGTGTGCTTTTTTGCATCAGATTAAACGGATAGTTGACTCAAAAAATTAAAATCATGTCGTTTGAAACCCATAAAACCATCTTCAGAACACAAATTAAGATTTTTTTAATGAAATATGAGATTTTATGGTTGAAATTTTGAGCTAAACCGCTCAAATCGTATGGATTAGTTTTACGATCTCTTTATGAACTTTTTGAAGCGTCAAAGTGGTTGTTGTGTAGCTGTCAATGGAAGGACAAATCTCTCAGATTTTATCAAAAAGATCTTAATTTGTGTTCTGAAGATGAACGAATGTCTTACGGGTTTGGACCGACATGAACGTGAGAAAATGATGATATAATTTTTTATTTTTGGGTGAACTGTCCCTTTAAGAGCCTTGCTTGAACCAATTGGCATTCATCCTGGAAGTATTTTGATCCTGAGCAAAGCAAAGTCAGTGAACATTTTCCCTTCTCTCCATGTAGTGTAATACCATGAAAAAAAAAAACACAGCAAGACAAAACTCTAAAACATCTATGATTTTGTAAATAAAAGCAGAAGAATGTTTTTGATTAAAGGGGCAGACAGGCGCCACAAGTTTATGTATTCAATAAGGATTAAACCTGTTTCCTTAATCTTTTCCCACAACCATAAGGGCTCAATATGCCCCTAAAAATGTTACTTTGAATGTGTCTGAAGTACAGTTCATTTTACACATTGAATGTGAATTCCTCACATCCCTGGATCCAAAAATCTATTCTAGTCAACTACGAGTGCAGACATTTGGTCTCCAACCTTGCTCTTTTGAGTCGCTTACAGAATTAAGTCAGGAAAAAATGTTTTTGCAGCTGCAGTATCCTGTCAGAAAACCTTAGCCAACATGCCAGGACAAAGATCGCCTTCCCCCGGCGCAAATCAACTCTTCATTGTCCACATTTATTCCACTTCACTCAAACATCTTTCCCAACAGGAAGCCAGGAGCCCCACATTGGCATCTCAGACTGGCGATGAAGCATCTGTCAACCTCTCACTTCTGAAACTTGATGACACTTCACTACACCGCTCCAAGAGTAGGCTACTAGGCTACTACACTCTTAGAAAAAAAAAGATTCAATGGGGCTATAGAAATTTAAATAGGCTACTTTGAAGTTTAACTGTTCGTTTCAGTTTATAGAGATAAAGTATGTTTACAAGCTGTTAAATACAGAAATCCCCATGATGGGAACCCCTAAAAGGAATATAGAAATAGAACCTGACTAGACATTATTTTAATAGTGTATAATTGTGGTTGCATCATGTACATACCTGGCTAGGCTGCATGGTTTCATGTTAGAGATGTTCCTCAAAAAATCAACCAAGAAATTACATTTTAAAATGTGGCTACTGCTTAGTATGGACTGGGGACAATCTGTGGAGAGATCTATCTTTTTAAACAAAACACTAGCTTTAAAAAAAAGTAAGGGTTAAACGAAGTGAGAAATAATGCACTAGTCTACCTATCTCTGTTGCTATGCTCTCCTCCTCAGACGAACGCGCGAGCGTCTGTTTGGCGCCAGATAAAAATACGCGCGCAGACGCCTGTCTGTCCCGCTGTGACGGGTAACATAAAACTCTAAAGACCTATAAATATTAACCACTAAATAATTTAAACTGCAACGCAGTCTTTTCCTTAATAACCGGTACTGTCAACCAGACTGTAGAATTGCACAGAATAAGATAATCGTTATAATACATTTGATAATAGGCCTATTGATTATATTTTTTTAGTTAATGTTAGAATCAGGTATAAAAAATAAGTTTAACGTTGCCTCCGTGCTATTGCAAATCTATTTTGCGTTAAGTCATGTCTAAAGATCGTATTTGTGAGTTGAAGCACATGAACAATACCACACTGTCGTAAATACTGAAGCTCGGGATTTTCTGCCCCCATCTTTACGAGTTGGGGGTGTTGTTCACTGAGAAACATGGTAGAATACCGTAGCCTAATTAAAAATAATGATATTGCAGTTATATTGTCAGGCATTTTCCTTTTAAAGCGAAGTTAATTGCCTGCACAGAATATGATGACATTATGTTGAAATGATAAAAAACAAAACACACCTGATGCACATTTGTTCTTCATTTTCTAGAAGCGAGTAGAGTTTAAGGACATTGCTGTATTTTTGTGTAATTAATTAGGAGAAAGTAGCCTACACCGCCATCTTACTCTGATGAAAGTTACTTGAACACACCTGCACTTCTCGAAGACACGAAACGAGCGGTTTGTGTGAGAAAACAGTATATCATTTTTACCTCTTGTAAACACAGCCACTCCAACCCAGATAGCAAACTGACATTGAATCAACGTGGAAATATGACATCGAAACAACGTTGATCTGACATTGTTTTGCTCATCGAATTAACGTTGAACCAACGTCAGACGCGTCATTCTTTCAAAACTAACGGAAAATCAACTTGAAATCAACGCGTTGTTTCAACGTTATGAAAGCAAACCAATTTTCGATTTCATTTAGCTTTGAAGAATGCCGCGTCTGACGTTGGTTCAACGTTAATTCGATGAGCAAATCAACGTTGTTTCAATGTTATGAGAGACGTCGTTTCCACGTTGATTCAATGTCAGTTTGCTATCTGGGAAGTGATCTGAAGGCACGGGCGCTTCGGTCTTCTCGTTTTCGTTTTCTCACGCAAACCGCTCATTTCGTGTCTTAGGCCATCAATGTGTACTTACATTTACGAGTCATTAAATCATGATTAATTTGGACTTCTCTGTGCATGCTCTTTGAGGTGGTGATGACCATACATTATTTGACTGACGGTTTGCCCTGAAAATATCAAAATTGAAAATACTGTGGAAAGAAAGACACCTACATCTTGGATGCCCTTGAGGTAAGCTAAAACATACCAAAAATTAATTTCAAAGTGATCTATCCCTTTAACGCGACGGCAGGTGCGTTCAAGTCGCTTCCGTCGGAGTAATTTTTTGGGTGAAATATCTCTTTAAAGACAGCTAATGATAGTGTAGGCCTACCATTCATTGACCGCCATAGCCTAAACATTCATTTTGAGGCTGAAGGGGGGAAGGGGTCATGACATTTAATTTACACCAGCAGGACTGATGTTCAGTTCATGCAGTCTACCTTTATATGCAGCGCCGTAGTGTGTATTGGGGAACAGCTCTCCCATCTGGACAATTGCAGTTTTGCATAAGTTAGTTTAGATAATTCCATTGACATCTCTGGCCAGTCTATGGTATTTAGTCTGCTTTTATTTCGTTGTGATTTTTTATTAACACCTTTGAGTGCATAGCAGTTTTATTCCGAATTTAATTGTAAAAGGCGGTGTACATATCAAAGCGGAAAGTTTACATTAATCATTTGTTTCTTTCAGGAACGTTTTTAAAGTTACTCCTACGGCTCGAAACAGGTCAAGTACTTTTAAAACACTGGAAAAATTCATGCATTCAAAATTGAACAATATCTACGCGACATAATCATAATGAGTGTTTGTGGCGCTGCTCGGTGCCGGTGGCTCCAGACCCGCAGTGCTGTGAGTCTCAGGGTCCTTCAACAGAACCGAACCGTCCGCAGACACACGACTGGAGCTCATGAGAGTATCAGGGAGAAGCTGCAGGCTTTCCCGGGGGGATCCATCGATCTCCAGAAGCGACAGGAGTCCGGTATCGCGGTGCTCACTGTCAATAATCCAGCGCGCATGAACGCCTTCTCAGGTAACTTACTCGTGTGTTTACCCCACATATGTGGGCAATTTAGTTTGAGGACAGTTTATGGTGGAAATTGAACTTTTGGAATAAAATAACAGAACCAATTGACTTGCTAAGATTTTTTATACATGTAATATGTCAAATAAATTGGTTCCACTTTATGTACTAAAATACAAATCAGTTTTTACATTGTACTAATATTTAATCAACACCTGCATGTATAATTACACTGTTGACCCAACCTCAATAGGAGCACAAGTGATTTGCAATACAACATCAACACATTGTACACGTTTTATATGCAAGTACATAGTAAAGACACCTAATATAAAGTGTGATGATAGCATTTTATACAAATAGTATTTTGTAGACGTTTTGCATAATGTGGCAAAATTAGTGTTTGATTGGAAATTATGCACAATAAAAATACTTTGTCCTTATATTATATTTGCCTTGATTTTCTTAACGTCACATTCCACATACTTTATCTCAAACTTACAGTTTACTTGCTAAACATTAAAATACACACACTTTTAACAGAATAAATTTGAAGTTTGCGAAATTTGGTCTCTTTCTTGTGAAATTTTAAGATGACAATACTTTTTAACATTTGGCAATTCATGTTTTTGTTTTCCGAACATTCAAGAATGATTGGCTGGTTTTGAGACAAAAGTTAAAGTCTGCCTGAAAAAGAAGTTATGATAGTCTTTTCTTCCCCATTGTGAAACACACAAATACTTTTTTAGTGAATACTTGAATACTTTTTTAACAAATGAAATCAAATACAGTTTTAGTTAGTTAGTTTTATAAGATAGTGTCCATTGGGAATGATTGGATGGTTGTAGAGTGCTATTGGTGGATCTCATGTGAGTGACAGGTTGGCCCCGTCCTCATCACCAGAGAACAGAAGAGATGTCTCTGCAAGAGAGAGGGGAAGTTATTTTGATTTAAAGATTACAAAGCACACGAATAAATAATTTAGAATGCAATACTCCATAAAAAAATAGAATTTGTCAACTCAATTTTTGATTTCATTGTGATTTTAAGATTGACAGTATGGAACAATCTTTACATACAGTTAAAGGAGTAGTTCACTTTAAAAAAAAAAAAAACTTTTGCTGATAATTTACTCACCCCCATGTCATCCATGTCTTTCTTCAGTCGAAAAGAAATTAAGGTTCTTGATGAAAACATAGTTCACTCTGAGTCAATTCGTTCATT